ATCGCAATCCATACACACATCAATTGTGTAAAGCGCATTTGTACATCATTCTCAAAACATTTTCTCTCCACTTAAACCCCCGACATTAGGTCCTCAACAAGTACCACTCTTATGGGAAGCTCTTAATATATTTTAAACTTTTTTTTGACATATTAAATGCAGAGGCTCAAAAGATAAAATGTAGACTAGTTTAGCTTCATTTTCAGAATCCACACCTAAATGATCAAAAGAGTAGTTGGCACACAGAAAGCACACAGTGGACGTAAGACGATTCTGAATTTTGCTCAAATCATGTTAAGATCCCCAAATAAAGATTGAGAAGCTCTCACTTGACAGTTAATTTTACCACAGCATGAGTAATTAACCTTACCTGTAGTCTGCAGTCAGGACTCGCATACTCATGATAATACCATCATTATTACTTACCCAGTACCTTTACTAGAAGAGAGTCCTGGGTTCATGGCTCCAGTTTGCCCAGTGACACGTCAGAAGACAGGTCTGGTGGTGGTCTTCTGAAAGATCGGTCATTCCCAGTCCTCTGGAGCACCGTTCTGCTTGCACACACATCAAGTCTCCACGAGTTGGGAATGGGTTCTCCCGGCTAAATCACTTAGATAGCCTCAACTGCTAGAAGATTGCAGGACAGTGTCAATTTATATTCACATTTTTTAGCATCACTATCAGTAGTTCTCCAGACACTGTCGCAGGCATATAAGGAAATAATAGTGGCACTTTTCTCACTGTCCTCTGTAAAATTACGGCTTGTTCAGCATTCTCTAGCCTGTTTGACCTTTACTTGCAAAATAAGTCATTCAGGAAATTTCAGACAGTATCTGCCCCCTCATTCCTGGCCTTTTGACTTACAGTGAAAATTGTGGGTTAAGAAGATCGAAAGGGGTACATTTTTGTCTGTTGCATTTTTTAATCACAATTTAAACTGTTAAAACTGACAAACATTTCTTCTTAGAAAACAGTAGTTGATCTTCAACCATTGATTTGATTGAAAACTCAAAAGTTATTTTTCCTGCAAGATTTTTTTTTTCCTTTTTACTCCTAGTGTTTACGAAAGGACAAGTTACCACAGGACAGTATAGAATGCTTGCCAAGCGAGGTGGCTATGTCTGGGTGGAAACTCAAGCAACTGTCATATACAACACAAAGAACTCCCAACCACAGTGCGTTGTATGTGTGAATTATGTTGTGAGGTAAGCTTGGAAAATGAGCCTTTTAGTCCCCCTTTCTGGAAACGAGTTTTCATCTCTCCCTTGTCTCTTGCAGTAGATTTACCCAGTGCACTAGAGTGATTCATTTATTAATTGCTGCTTTCATGGGAGTATTGATTGTGGATCCAAGTAAAATGTAATTCTTGATAATTCAATATTTTCTCCATTTTTCATGATGTTTATTGGTTTCTTTGCGAGGATTTTTATTTTCTGAACATTTAATGGTAATCCATATTGAGTGCTGTATGCTTTGGTGTTAAAAAAGCAAAGCTTTACGTTGAGATCTAAGGTTCATGGTATTTTCAATCATCTCAGGCATGCGAAAGATGCATTCTGTTTTGGAAAACTGAAGAATAATTGATGCATTTGAATTAAGGTGTTTTTAAGAATATTGGATATACCATACACTGTTGGTAGAATGAATAAAGTATAGCCAAGAATCTTCTTTAGAATTGAAGATGATGAAATTTTTGTCTCTTGTACCTGGGACATGGTATCAGGACGACCAAGCCCTGTAGAAAGCCATCATTCTTGATCATGTAGAGGATTAGCACACAAACAGAGGAAGAACAAGGGGCTCAAGTAAAGCCGTGATGGTGAGGACGGTACAAGACTGGTCATCATGTTTTTCTGATGTGTACCTGTGGTTGCTATGAGTAAGAACTGATTCAAAAACACCTAATAATGATAAATCTTTCATAGGAAGTAAGATTATAAGCACTTACTGTATTTCATTTTATTTCTGTATAATTATAATGTTCAGTATTCTGACCAAGGTTTCCAGGAAAGTAATTATACAGTGATTTCCACAAATAGTATCTATGTATCTTTATCCTTCCTCCAAGCATATTAAAGATGAGCTTTAAAAATGTCAGGGCTTCTGCAGATTAATGTGCTACTATACAGCTCTCGTAGCACACAGCTCTTCGTAGATACTATCACAAAGCAGCTGAACAGTTTTTTAGGAAGAATACTCCCCTTTGGGACCAAAAGAATTAAGTTTGTGCCCTAGTTCTACCTCTCATTAGCTCTGTGATCTTGGAGAAATCTCTTAATTTCTCTGGATTTCATTGATATATAAGGGATGATAATATTTACCTCAAAAGGTTAAATGAGGATTAAAGGAAATTCTATTAGATAAGGATGGCATGCTTGATATAACACATAGCTCTTGGATATTCATGAATTCTCCCAGTTCATCGATTTATGAATGTTAGGAACATCTTTGATCTATTTCAATAAGCTTCTAAGTGATCTCTAATCTACTTTCCACATTTCTAAAGATCACCTCAAGGTAAACCTTTGCCCCCTTGCAGGAAATCCTTGCCATATTCCTTGCCATGTCTTGCATTTTCCCATATTCCCATGCTTTCCTAGATTTGTCCTTCCTGCTAACACTCATAGCTACCCTTTTAGGAAGATTTTGGTCTTTTGTTTTATTTTTGACACTTTTGATATCATCTTTTAGTACTGTAATATCAGTGCCAAAGAGTTATTTTGTGACTTCCCCCACTTGGAATGCCTAACAATCTGTTTAAGGCTTAGTCTTTCTGGGAAATAAAGGTCCTCTATTTTAGCAGTTACCACATTGTATTTTAGTTGTATAGCTACTTTCACACTAGTTTATAAACGGCTTAAAGGTAAGGGTTGGGTGTGTTCATCTTTGTTTATTTATTACTTACCAATTAAAGAAACAATAAAATACACATTTACGCCTGTATTAGTCTAGGTACTTTGGAGAAACAAATCCAGAGCAACTCATGTATAAGAGAGAGTTTTATGTAAAGAAAAGGTGCATCACGAAAACATCCTAACCCAATGCTGCCCAAGCCCACAAGTCCAACATTAACCCATACCCAACACCAGTCCACAAAGTCCTCCACCTCACAAAACAGAGGCAAT